TTTGGATTATTACGATATTCGGATTTATTTGAAAATCATTGGCCACTATTGCACTTAAAGAGGTGAAGTCTTGGTTTAATATTGAACGGGTTTTCTAACCCAGATTCAATATTGCCAGCACAGTAGCACTAAGCTTCTGGTAAGGTAGTTAGGCTAGGGCAATAGTAGTTGGCGACTTGGGCATTGTGGCACACACAATTGTATTATGCAGTTAAACCCATAAACCACAAAAAAACAATGATCCAAAACTGAAATTTAACTTATTATTACGATTAGGTCAACTGTGCGCCAATGCAAAGTTGTCTGCTATTCTTCTTAGATGTTGCCTCTAGGTCGTGGGCAATTTAGGGTTTTTAGGCCGGTCAGCTTTCAGTTTATATATGGGTTCAGTACGGCAGTCATGAACAAACTCATAAATTGCAATATTTGGGTTCGTGTTTATGATTGCAGGGGGGAGCTGACGCCCGCGCTTCGATCTGGATAGCCTAAACCCCTGGTGCTTGCATCATTTACCTAGAATTCACTCAACGTAGCAGAGTGAAATCGCCCGCGCACAAGATGAATACAGATTTGGTTTGAAAAGATGACCTTAGGCAGGTTTGAATATGTAGGGAACGCTCCGTTCATTGCAATATTAGATCAGGTCGGCGTAAATAGACTTCGTCAAACTAGGGTCAAATATCGTTCGCTGGGATGTTGAGATGGGTGGTTGGGACGGCCGGATAGATAGTTTTTAGTTAGGAATAGACAGGTATAAGGGTGAAGAGTAATTATCACTCGCACTGTTGTCCTCTCTTGTGACTTCAAGCTGGGTTTGATAATTTACTTTTTCACGGTGATAGGGACGCAGTAGGGAAATGAATGATGTAACGGTCCCCAGACATCTTGTCTGGGGATTGAAACTCTTTCTCTTCCAATCTACTTCTAGGCTGTATTTTGACACTTGTGCGTAGTTTTTATTTTCCGTGGTTTATTATCTTGGCGACAAAACCATGTTTAAGCACTGTAATGTCGTGCGGTAAAATGCAAGACATTTATCATATTCGACTTGTTTTTTTTATCATATTTACATACACCCTACTGTCGTGCAGTCAAATGCAAGGCATCTTATGTCCAGTGCCTTGCAAACAACTGTACGACACTTTATTTATTGCATTTTTTTGTTATGTTTTAGTGATCCCCTTTCCAGGAAATTTGCTTCTGTATAAACTATCATTTGTTCAACTAACACTGTTTTCATATTTTCAGATATCATTGGAAGAAGATGAACATTATTTTTTTTCAATAATTTTCCGAGACTTTTTACTTGATTCGGCTGATCCAGCTCTATTAATGAACGTCAATTGAGTCGAAAGTTTCCAATAATATAAAATGTCTGGTCTGAACTTAACTGCAAATACATTTGAGCAGCTAACAGGATTCAGCATTAAAGTTTTCAGTAATGTGTAATAGCCACCGTTTAAATTTAAAATTCCCTTCTATTATATTTCCTCTCCATGTTTCTCTGTATAAAGATGTCTGATAATATATTTAGAAGCGACTGGTCCGGTTGGGAAAGTCGTTTTTGTTTTGCCACAGGCTTCTCTGAGACAACCTTCGTCCCGAACAGACGCTGAAGACCACAACTTGACCATCGCCAAGAAGGCACTGGCATGCAATTTCCAGTAAAAGGGTGATATGCCGCAAGTTATTTTTAAAGTTTTTAAAATGCAAGTTTTCATGTGAACTAGACTTAAAAGCTAACATGGACAAACTACGGCCCGTGGGCCAGAATTAAATCTGGCACGTGTGATGCATCCCCAATCAAACTAAAACCAAGTTTTGATGTTTTAGTTAAAAATACCCCAGCAGGAGATTTCTTGAAATTGCCATGAAATTCAGTTTGAGCACGAGGCCTATTATTTTCCACTTTTGCTTTTGTAACACTATATACTGTTCATTAAATGTAACTTTTTACGTCACACTTACATGACCCTAGGTAGGTAACATTGTTGGCCCTTTGGCTAAAAACCGAATATCATACTTGATGTTCTCATTTTTTTACCAAAGGTCAACACAACCAACACTTGATGTAGAATCAGAGCCTTCGGGTAAAGAGCAAAGGATGGAAGATAGGACATTTCGCTGGAGGATTGTTCACTTGTGTGGTACTACCAATTTCGTCTGCCGATTTATTAGTTAATCAGCAAGGAATGACTAGATAGTGTTCGACAGACAAATCTAAACTAGATGTTTAGATGGCTATTAATTGTTTAGCAGGGAATATCTCAGTCCGGCGAGTAAAATTTAGGAATTCAAATGATTTTTAAAATAATCTGCTTTTTATGGGCGTGTACATGATTCATATATTAATCAATATAAATTGCTGATTGGACCTATATTCGGCATCATTCTGATGTATCGATTCACACGGTAATAATAATTCGTTGACGATTTTATATTATTAATATTCACAAAGGGCAAACTAACCATTTTTTCTTTTAATTTTGCCGAAACCACTCTGTAATTATAATTTGCACTGTTGTATATTCGGGATTCAGGCGGTTTCCATTAACAAATAAAAGTTCGTCTTGGTTTTATTGCTCATAACATGAATTAGACTTTCAGTTACCAGATGACCAATTGAATGGCGGACCTCAACAGACGTTGGATGAGGCACACACATTTCAAGATCATTGACATCATATAATCTCCAGATTCATTGTTCACTTTTACTCGAATGGACACATTTACTGTTTGCTATTATTTTCTTGTTATACTTTGTTATGGGTGCCGCTGCTCGATGACCAAATTTAGTTTCTCGCGGCTCCCCTCATCCTGAGATGCTTTTTATTTATTTATTGCAATTTGTATATCAAGTGTGCTTTCAAGATGATGAGATTTCTGAATAATAGTATCGAAAACTGTTCAAAACCAACTTTATTACTCAAAACTGAGATAATGACTGTTAAAAATATTTGCTCAATTATGAATTGGATCAAAAAATAACTTTGTTCACTCAACATTATTATACATCACACATGGAACCAATTTCCCCATGACGTCGAACAATTTTTCAAAAATGTGAAATTCAAAAGTCCGTGCGTGTTTGGAACTTTGACAAAAGGGTTGCGTGACTTTTTATTCTCAACTCCCGAATTTACAAAAATTTTTCATCGTTGGAAGACAAATATACCCTTATATGATGATGCACAGATGCTACCCATGCCCCATGTTTCTATGTATAGAGATTAAACTCTGAATTCTCCGATCTTTTACCGGTGCTCCCGAAGTATGTGCATCAAGATGGCGCACAACCTGAACATAGTATGTGTACCAGGTTAGGTTATCAGGTTGTGCGCCATCTTGGTGCACATACTTCTGGATCGCCCTTTTATCGGGGTGCTTAATTGTTTCCTATATATATTTAAACAGATTCAATACAAAGGAAACGAAAAAGAAAAGCTATATTCAACATCTGTGGATGCGGTGTCACCATACATTCACTAAAAGTTTTCGTATACGAGATCTTTTACTTATCAATTCGGGAATAAAAATTGACAATTTTGCATGTTAAATTAATTCATACCGATGGCATTTAAATGAAGCGCCTATATCAGACGTAAGTATCCAAAGGCTTGCAATGTTGCAGTCATAAGCATTGTATCTGTGCCAGTGTGAAATACATACGAGTATGTAATAAACATTAATATTTTCTTGCATGATAGTTTATTGTTTGATTTACTGCACGTCACTTTGATATGCATTAACATTTGCATGCTTACCAGAGTTCTCTCAAATGGAGGGAAGAAGCAGATGAGAGAAGAAACGAGATACGAACGTAATCAATTGTTTGGGATTTTTCCCTTTCTGATGTGTACGTTTATAATTTATTGGCCATTGTTTTACTATATATTTCATATTTTAAGGGGACAACATTGTTCCATTGAGCTCGATGTTGCAATCCCACGAATGTCGACGCGCGTTGGACGGAAGAATGCACAAGAAAGCTGCCTTAGATATTCAACAAGTGCTAGCATGATGCCGACAAACCAGATAATGAACAGGAAGGATAATGAATGTGTTAGTGACTGCGGAGGACTTAAATCGTGGAGGATGAATAAACACAATGGTGTAAGTATTCATTTCTATATTGAAACGAAATTTATATATTTCAGGTGCTTTTCTATGTTGCATTTATGTGGAGAGTTGAAAAACATGATATTGCAAGTTGAAACTGGGCAACATGGTTGTATGGCTCTATAAAACGCTCAGGATGATTTGTTGAGATTGATCTACAGTCATGCTTCAACAAACCACGACTTTACACGATTCTTTTTACAGATTCTACGTTTAAGTTGATATTGTTGGTGGTTCCGATGTAATTTGTTAAACTTTGGCAGATTATTATAAGCCAACAAAAACGAATCAAACATGGACTCGTTTTATCGCCTATATTTGTGCCCTTAACCATGTTTGTTTTATTGCCTATCTATGTTCTTTTTTGTCTTGAAGTCTGCGTTTCAACATTTTTTGCTGGTTGTATCTAATCATTTTTTTGCTGGCTGGGTCTAACCATTTTTTCGCAGGTTGGGTCTAACCGTTTTTACTTTTTTTTTTTGCAGGCGGGCATCTAACCCTTTTTATCATTTTTTCGCAGGCAGGGTCTAACCGTTTTTATCATTTTTTCGCAGTCGCTGTCTAACCGTTTTACCATTTTTTGCAGGCGCTGTCTAACCGTTTTTACCATTTTTTCGCAGTCGCTGTCTAACCGTTTTTACCATCTTTTCGCAGTCGCTGTCCAACCGTTTTTACCATTTTTTGCAGGCTCTGTCTAACCGTTTTTACCATTTTTTTGCAGTCGCTGTCTAACCGTTTTCACATTTTCTTGCAGGCTGGGTCTATCCGTTTTTAACATTTTTTGCAGTCGCTGTCTAACCGTTTTTACCATTTTTTTTGCAGTCACTGCCTATAGCAAGAGCACGGGCGGCATTTGGATAAGGGCGCACAATAGTCGAAACCTCATTTTGATAAAAACTTCTTGAATAACGTAAAAGTATCCCAAAGCAACAAACCGTAGTTAAATATTTCAGTAAACGATCGATCAAGAGGGCGCATTTTAAACATTTCCATAGGCGCTATTTCACGCAGATACGCCACTACTGGGGCAAGCTTTGATATCCGGCAAACTCGGGTAGAAAGATGGTTATATAAAAAAAATTAAAATACACTGTTTATATAATCAAGATGGTACAACAATTCATTCCAATGTTCTTCAACGTACTTGTCCGATTGTCGACTGTCCTTTGATCTTTCCAACCAGAACGCAGCTGAAATATTAAAACAGATTCAACATAGCACAGGGCGATTATGAATTTCATTTCACACCACCGATGAAAAACAGATCCTAAAAATTTGAACATCGACTTGCACAACTCAAAAATTCATAAGATTCGAAACTAAGCTTCCAACTCGATACATCACGATAGCGATGCTCAAATATATGGACACGAAAACCAAAACGAAGTAATACGAGTATGCAATCTGTCACAGTAGACTACGCCACAGGGTGCGCAATTTTTGATTGTTTTAGTAAGCGATTTTTTCATCACAAACAAGAAAAAGATTCCCAATAATGACAATAATATAATAACAAAACGATCTGATGTCCAACGATTTCGGACTCCAGACCGGCAACTTGAGTAAATTCTTCTGCAAGTTTGTGTACCTAATGCTGCAAATAGCAACAGTAACTATAGTTATTTCCGTGGGTGTATTGAGTAAAAAGCAGCAATGAATAGGGCAAAGAAGTGCGTTTTCGCAACTGGAATATTAGCTCACCTACATTACCAAAACTCTCTAAACGGAATAACTTTTGAACTGGTAATGAAATATTAGATTTTAATACTTTGCCCAACAATGACAAATGAGCCTTTATTAACACTTTCAAGTACACAAGACTGCTAATTAAATAAAACGACATCCCGACTATAAAACAATATTATCAAATATTCTAGCGGAAACAATGCGCAAATATAAAAATACCTAATTTGAACAGACAGATCATTTGTGAGATCCGTTGTCGCATCAATCCACTTGTTCCGCCATCCGGACAGAATCTGCATGATAAAATAAAGTTAGATATCGGTCTTCAATAGAAATAGTTGCTGATCGTAAAGAGCAGTGGCGATCGCGCACAAAGGGGGGCTATCTGATAAACCTGGAGAAAACTGAAACCAGAGTTTGCTAACGCATAACAAGGAGAAATAGGCCAAAGAGAGGAAGTATTTGATGATTGTGGAACTCAAGCTGAAGCACGCGCGCGTCTCCAGCAAGGTTTCAACATGATAACGAATAATTCGTGGGAATCTTTAAATACTCTGTTAAATTATGTGGAAGAGGTTTGTTGGACTCCTGGAGGTGATTTACGTACAACTGTTTCGTCATACCTCCGCCATTTTAAGTTCATGCATCCGAGACTAATAATAACTGGCTAACTAATCCCGATAGGCGATATGGACTGATCACCGGACGAGAAGCCGTTGTGTCCATGTAATCAAGCAGTCTTACGGATTTCCTCTCCACTGTGATAACTATGGAAAGACAAATATATATCTACACTTACTTCAACAAATTGTCGATTGGTGAGATTCGCTTTCACCTTATTCGCTTATTCTCGTAATCAGGACATAACCTGCATGATAAAATACAAGTTAAGAAACTATCGAATCCGAAATATTCCAGCCCAGTTAAAAACGCCTATATGATTTCAGCAAAAGCGAAATGACCTCCGCCAATGTTATTTTGCATTCATTTTTATTTCACTTAACACATAGGTGCCTATGCCGGTACATATAGAATGTTTCGGCTTGGAATAAATGATAGCAATTAATTTCAGTGTGAATTGAATTCAATTTATGAAACACGGCCACTTGCAAAGAGTGAGAGTAATTTTAGAGCAGTGTTCCAACCTTTATCGTTGAAACCCCCCTTCGTCTATTTTGGAACTTTTTGTGTTATAATTATCCATTATAGTAATATTAATAATGAAGAAATACAGAATATTAGTAGCGGTATTTCAGCAAATACTAAGCAAAATTCTCCTCGTTTCGGAACGTTGAGGGAAATAAAATGAAAAAGAGTCTATGATAAAAAGTTAACCTACCTTGCTTATGTTTGAGTCACGCTGGAAAGCCGTACCTTGCTCCACGTGTTTTTCACTTGCATTGAATACTTTCAAGCACTGATTGAAAATTTCTGAAGCAAAATAAAACCACTGTAGAAAACACTGTACGTTGAAAATTTTTGAAGGTAATTTCAATTTTCTTTAATTAAATTGTTTAATTCATACTTGTTTTTGTCTCAGACGCAGCGGAAATACTACATAAATTTAATAAACGGTTTCAGCTTCCATTAAATACACTAAGGAATAATTGCACACTAAAATTTCGGTAACACAAACATCGGATTCTGGTTATGCCCGTTAAGTATTTAAAAAAAGAAAAAATTTTGAAAAGTTTGTTTCAAAAGTAAATCAGGATTCGAATTGCAAAAAAATATAAATACTTGGATAAATGTTCATTCAACCGCATTTCCTCTAGCAGATCCCGACGCCAACAATTCCAGAATTCGTGATCCAATTCCACTCCAGATCAATAATTTTAGGCCTAATATTAGTCTAACTGAATTAGTAAACATGCAACTGTAAAAACATATAAATTGCCTGCAAAGAAACAAGAAAGCAGTAAATGAAGCCAAATCATTTACTAATTGCCGTTAGAATAAATGAATTTGTCAAACAGCCGAAACGACGAATATTTGGAAGACTACGGTATTCAAAATGTAAATCTGGATGCACTTACAACAAATATACGTTTCTCAGCACAAGAGCCGAGTAGTATGAGACCTCCATATGTAATCAGATTCATGTTAAGGGTAATATAAGAAGACAATACAATGACACTGACGGAATCCCAATACTTGGTTTGACCAAGATTGTATACTATATTGCTATGCGGTTGTGCACTTATAAATGTAAATAAATTAACAGTTACCTTATTAATCCTTGATCGCCTTTTCAACTAAACTTCCGTGAGTCTTCGAGTCAGGAATTTGGCAACAATCATCGCTTCAATACTATGTTATGACCTAACTGTAATATTATTTAGTTTATCTTTAGCTATTAGTCCATGTATCTATCGTTTTCATTCCACCTCGACAGTCCCACTTGGTAGACAATTGAATTTGTTACTTTGCAAAAATTACAGAATATGCAGAATTTATTTTTGATTGTGAACTTGAACCTTTAAAGGAATACAGGTATTTTTCCACCTGCATAAAACAATGATCTCATGTTCTTAAAACAATGAGATCATCGATGCTTTCACGAAATCTATGCTATGTCAATCTATGTTGTTATATATTTACGATACATTTGACCTTATTTACTGCGCCGATGCTATAAACCGGAAATAATATTAATATTGCTCAACCAAAATTTCTCTTATCAAAAACGAAACGAACTAGTTTCTGATTGGTTAAAAATAAACCTTCTTTCCGAAAAAGTAATAAATAAAGATCGAGAATTTATCCACAAAGCTTCCAGAGAAATTCCAAAAGCCTTTAAATAACCCAACTTAACACAAAATAGCACAGACAGAAAAGAGGAAAAAAAGCGGGAAAGGTAGGAAATATAGGGGGCAATCCGCAACTATCCCATTCAAGGATTCCCAATAGAACACGTATACCTTCTGATTAAAAGGTAGGAAATATAGGGGGCAATCCGCAACTATCCCATTCAAGGATTCCCAATAGAACACGTATACCTTCTGATTAAAATATTGCTTTATATGGAGTCCGGATTCTGGAAGTCGTAAGTAGACACGGGACTATCGGATAAGTACGCAGATAGAAGACCATTCATAGCAGCAACACAACTTTCTACTTTACAGAATCAACAATTGTAGCTTGAACCTAGGTTTAACTGCATTAGTATAACTGAAAGATATGGAAAAAGAGAACGCTACTTGGGCCCACGTAAATTCTTGACATGAAAAAAAAAGGTTTGGATATAAACAACAAAAAAAGTGACCGTTGAAATAATTTAAAAAAAAAATTACGCAAATAATATCACCTGCATATATCGGGAACATCCTAACACAACCGCATCTCTGTTGATTTTCTAAATCATCAATGATGTAAATCTTATTTATGAAATGGTCCAAACATCATTGCACAGGCATATCTTCCCAGGGGTCTCTGATTCAACATAAGTATACTCTCAATTCAATCTAGTGCTATATTATGGCCTGACTGTAATTCATAGTTTCATGAATATTTGTTTAACCGAAATTTTGTTCCACTCAAGCAGTTTCCATTGTCAACATTCGCAGCCTGTTTACGTTCAGTCAGTTTGCATAAACACGATCTGAAATATGTAACATGGCTAAGATACAATATATAGGTTGAATAAAAGCTAACACAGACTAAAAGCAAGAATAGGGCGATTCATATATATGGAATATATGCAAAGCGTAAATTTGAATACGGTTTTAGGTTTCTTACTTGTTCTAACTTGAACATTTCATTGCTCTCGATCGCCTCCATTTGTTTACGCCGTCGTCTTCGATTCAATAATTACACACTAGGAATCATTTAATATCACGCTATGGGTTAACTAACTGAAGAAAGAATGAAATTATCTCTAATAATCATTGCCGATTTAGATTATCTCACCAATTTCAGATCTTGTAATCTCAATTCCACTTTGTAGGAAATCAATAATTGTAGGCCAAAGCTTAGTTGAACTGCATTAGTATAGCTATAAAAAATGGCTTAAGATACAAGCGTTGGATTATGAAAAAATTAGCGACACAAGTATGCACATAAACCATTAAACCTAAAAATTCACAAACATGAAAACAGTGCTCACCTGACGGCGTCAAATTTGAAAAGACCGCCTGAGCGCAGACAAATTTCGACGTGGCAAAAAAAGTGTGATTATAGTAATAAAGAAACAAAGAGGGTGGAGGAGACCGCAAAATGAAGATGCTTTTTCATTCGTTATTAGGAATTACATGTGTAGGTGACGTAAGAAAATAGAGAAACACCACGACCCGCCACGTCCTGGTCAATTGTAGATTAGAACTATTCCGTATTCGTTAAAAATATTCGATAAAAAAAATGCAATTTTTCTACCTACCCCTACCAAGGGCAAATATATGGCGCCCATGGCAAAGTTTAAAATGCTCCTCCCTTGATAGTTAGTTGACAATTTATAATGACTGTTATTTAAATGAGATACATGTACGTTATTATTTGTGTAGAAATACGAGTTTCAGTTATTTTCAATTCGAAATTATTCTAATAAAACGTTTTACGATTAAAACTTTCCGCTCTTTTTGCGCATCTGCCCAAACAGTGACTATGGCACGAGTCATGCTTGCCACACCCTAGATACGCCACACACCCCTAGTTAGTTGGCTCGTATGTTAAAATATATTTAAGACGATATGTCGAGTAGCAACATTGGGCACCGTAATCATAACTTCATAGGCATAGATAATCAGTTGCAACGTGAAGCGATTGGGATTCATCGCACGTGTCAGATTGAACTAAATAAAAAAAAATGGTTCCCCGTGCCACACACTATTGGCACTTCTCCGCGGGCCACACAATTTTTCCTCGTAGACAGCATTTGGCCTGCAGGTTGCACGCCCATGATTTATGACCAAATATGGCTATTAGCCTACTTCCTAACCTTGTACTTATCAAGCAATAGCATATCTATCAGATTGCAAGGCAGCTAGCTTTCTTTCCGGAACTGGTAAAAAAGACTGAGATTTATGCTTGGTTTTGATTGAATAATTACATGAGTTAACAGGGGGTGACGACAAAAGTAAATAACGTCGATTTTAAATGTTATGGAGGTTCTCAGACAAACGCGAGAATAGTTTTATTCGGAAAATATTTTAAATATTAATCTGTGAAACTCGGGATTTATTTTTAAATAAAATGCGAACAGGGTCATAATAAAAGTTTATCAAAATATTCACTTCCTTCCTTCGCCCCTAGTAGTTGTTGCTACAGTCATACGGGACGACTTCTTTCGTGTGTAGGTGGACCTGGAACAGCCTAATAAGAAGGATATGGCGATGGCGCCTTACATTTGAAAACATATAGAGAATCTGTTGCTGAATAGATGCAAATTGAAATGACCCGCAGACAACTAGAGTGGTTGAAATATTATGCCCCAGAAGAAGCACCAGTAAACTGATTATTTGATCCCAATTGGAACCAAATAGATTTATATACTGAACAGAATACATGGATGATTGAGTGGGGGTTAAACAGTAGGTAGTTTTGGACGATAATAGTTCTTTTACGGAATACCTTGCTATAGATAAAACTATAAATTTTCCTCATTTTTGGAGTAAGAGACTTGAATAAACACTGAATAATAAGTATTCCCTGGAGATAATTTTGAAATTTGGATTAATTTAATTTGTCAAGAATATTCATACTTATCACTGAACGGAATTAGAATTTAGTCTTTAACTTAGTTGTAAACCTGATTGTCTATATAATTATCCGCGGATGTGCAAATCACGCTTTATCTCTTTGTTTCCTTGTTATTTGAGTTGAACAGCAAATTAATCAACAAACAAGTGAAGGAAGAGTCATAAAGACATTTTAAAGCCATTTTCACAGTTGAAAAAATTTATCTTTTCTTAAAAGCTTGTCACAAACAAGAACTATCAAAAGGTAAGAACAATAAGAATGATGAATCACGAATTCTTGATACCCCTGTAATTAGTTTCATTGATAATTAATTGTCTTATCAATTGTCATTTCTCATTCATTACAAATACACGACAAACAGACACGAACTTAGAATGAAAACAAATCAGACACGGAACGCAATAATATCAAAATAATACCTTTTTATAGAGGATATCTCTGAGAAATATTTTAATAGTTATATATG